GTTACGGATAAAATGTCAGGCATCAGCAGCTATGCTAACAACCTCTTATGAGCCCCCGGTGAAAGTGGCTGTAAATATTTTCAGAACCTTGGTGGCTGGAAAAGGACAGAGAAAAAGATGTGTCCTTTGTCATTAACATAACACATAAAAGTTCAAATGGAAGATTGCCAAACGAGTTATACTGCCACTAAACAGAAAGCTTTCATAATGGTGATAGCATCTAAATGCTTCACATATTCAATGCCAGGAAAACAAAATAGTGTTTCAATGGGAAATTATAAGAAGCACAATCACCCAAGCTTGTACTTGTTTTGCCTGTATCATTTTAATAATTCATTTGCATATGGCACTTTCAATAAATGGAGACTTTAGAAAAAAATATATATTTTCTCTACAATCCAATGAAATAAAATGCTTATTGTTCAACTGTTTTTTTTTTTGTTTTTTTCTAAATGTATGTGAAGTGCTGTTTTATGTAACATATTGATGATCTCATTCAATATATATGTATATAGAGAGAGAGTAATTTTAAAGCATAAACAAATTTAGCAAAATTAGTGTAAAGTGTCAATCAAACAAAGGTGAAAAAAATGGAGTAATCATATCATTTACCTGTTTTGGCAAATATTTAAGCGCCTGCCTTATTGAATCTTAAGCAAACTTGTCCTCATTGTTTAAGCTATTGACCTCATTGCTTGTTTCCTTTTTTCTTATATGCTATCAGTTGAATCCACACCACACACACAAGTTAAGAGAAATACGTTTGCATTCAACTACACTCATGAGGGGATGTGAGAAACGTTTGGGAAGGTGATAAAACCAACCTTCACATCCTCACATAATTTATTTTGGCTGGGTTTAATGCAAAGTGCCAGTCTCCTATAATGCAATTGTTTGTAATATGCAGCTGCTTTTTCTCAATGTTTGCCATTTTCACTGTTGATATACCTAGTTTTTTTGTGAGTTTTTGTGTCTGAAGATACCATATCTTGTGTAATCCACTCTGTTGCTGTGCCTTGGAAAACCACCAGACATTAATGATCTAAGACAATCTTATTTCACAGTTAGTGCCGAAGAAAACAAATACAAGTTTCAAAAAGTAAATAAACCCATCATAAAAAGTCTTATGGATTTGGACCGGCATGAGGGTCAGTATTTGAGGACTGAATTATTATTTTCGGTTGAATTTAACCTTAAGATACCTGGAAAGAGAGCCAACAACTTGCTTTTCTTCGTCTAATCAAGTTATAGTACTTTGGCAATTAACGTCGGATAAAATGTAGTCAACTTACCACTCATATATTAACATTGATGTCAATGTTTTTTTGGTTTTGGTTCTGTTTGGTTACCAACATTCTTCAAACTGTCTTCTTCTGTGTTCAACAGAAGAAAGAAACTCCTACAGGTTTGGAACAAATTGTAAGGACACTATTTTCTTTTTTGGGTGAATTATCCCTTTTAAGATCTCCATAAAACAAACTGTTTCCCCCCCTGGTGGAGCATAATTATTCTAACATTGTTCTAATTATTCAAATTATTCGCTATTCTACCATTACCCAAAGGTATGGAGAACAAACTGCTGTGATTATCCAATTACACTGAACAAAATTATAAACACAACACTTTTGTTTTTGCCCCCATTTTTCATGAGCTGAACTCAAAGATCTAAGACTTTTCTATGTACACAAAAGGCCTATTTCTCTCAAATATTGTTCACAAATCTGTCTAAATCTGTGTTAGTGAGCACTTTTCCTTTGCTGAGATAATCCATCCACCTCACAGGTGTGGCATATCAAGATGCTATTTAGACAGCATGATTATTGCACAGGTGTGCCTTAGGCTGGCCACAATAAAAGGCCACTCTAAAATGTGCAGTTTTACTGTATTGGGTGGTCAAGGGGGGTCCAAAAACCAGTCAGTATCTGGTGTGACCACCATTTTCCTCACGCAGTGAAACACATCTCCTTTGCATAGAGTTGATCAGGTTGTTGGGATCTTTGAGTTCAGCTCATGAAAAATGGGGGCAAAAACAAAAGTGTTGCGTTTATAATTTTGTTCAGTGTATGTTGCACTTTAATTTGGGGACCAATTCTCACTGTTAACTAACTATTAACTATGATTTTTGCTTCAATAAAATCATAATTTGCTGCTTATTAATAGTAAGTTAGTTAAGCTTAGGTATGGGGTAGTATTAAGAAATCTAAAATATGGTCATATAGAATAGGGCATTAAAGGGGACATGAACTGAGAGACCAAAATGTCCTTAATCTTTTGACATATACTGTACTATAATAACATCCTGTAAGTTTCAGAACTCAAAACATTCTTGTTAGTCTAAATACAACTTATATTGAAAGCAGTTTTCCAAAACAGCTTGTGGAATGTACCACTCTATGATGTAATAGTGTAGATAAGCACCGCCCCCACAGAAGATCAACGCCTGCTTTGACATCACTACCTGTTTAGCCCCGCCCACCGATTCGCGTATGTAGTGTAAATAACAAGAGGCGAACACAGGTCTACGCAGAAACCAAGCGAACAAGATGGCTCCGAAGACAACAAGATACTGTGCAGTGCCAAGTTGTGGAAAAATTAAGCATTGCCTTCCTTCTGAGCCCAACGTTAGGAAAGAGTGAATGAACTTTATTTTTAATTAAGTTCCAGTAGGAACTTGGTCCTTTGGTCACTTATTTCTCCATGGGTTTATTTACAAACAAAGCACAATTTGATGCAGTATTTTCAGAAAGATTACAACTAAAAGACGATGCTGTGCCGACTATTGGATCCGACAGTAGTTTCGCAAACACACAAGTGTGAGTAACTGGTTTTATTACATGATCACTATTGTTTTGTCTGATAAACAGATCATTTGATGATGGTCGGGCTAGTTTGTTTGGTGTGTTCCACTCATCGGCTTTTGTCGGGCTCACGTCGGCAGCAGTTTGCCCAATTCAACATGTTGTATCGGCTTCGGGGCCGTCGGGACCGTCTGCGCAAATGAGAGCTCTGATTGGATGTTCAGTTTAGCGAACGAGTCAGTGCCCGAGAATTAAAGCGAAAGGGATGAAAACAAGCACGTACATACAGACAGAAGGCTGTTTAAATGTTATGTGATCTTTCCCAATTATTTTAATACGCGAATGTTTTCATAACAACATGAGCCGCTGAAAATGATTAAAGTTATCAACGTTACTGATATTCAAAATGGTAAGCAAGTGCTGCTTTGTTTACATTTCGCATATCTGCATTTATCTTGTCTATCTTTGTTTCAGTTTCTCCTTTTGAATGACGAATATATACTATAGATAGCTGCTAATATAGACAGTTAATTCCTCTCACGCATGCGCAGAACGCACGTGTTAGTTTGCCGTCGGCTGTAGTCTGTGCGGTGTGTTCGAGCGCAGCTTTTTGGTCCGACGCTGCCGACGTGAGGCGACAACACCGTCGACTTTTGTCGCCTCTAGTTCTTTGAAGTCGGCTTGGTGTGTCCCGGCCTTTAGCCAATCATAGTAGTGGGTGTTTACTTCCAAGTCTACAATCCGCCACACCTTTTCAAACAGAGCATTCTGATGAGGGGGTCAAAAACAGGACAAAAAAATAGCCTAGTATGTCTAAATCATGATGTTTTTTTTAATGTAAAAATCTTTTAACATTATGAGTGGACCTCGGAGAACAGTACAAAATAAAAATAAAGGCAGTTCATGACCCCTTTAATATGTACGTAATAAATACTAATAAACATCCAATATGCTATTAATATGCATGCTAATAAGCAACTAGTTAATAGTGAGAATTGGTCCCTAAACCTAAATGTTACCTTAAAGAGATTTCATGTCATTAATTACTCACCCTCCTGTCGTTCCAAACCCGTAATACTTTTGTTCATCTTCAGAACACAAATGAAGATATTTTTGATGATATCCAAAAGCTTTCTGCCTGGCACTGACACATTCAAGGCCCAGAAAGGTAGTAAGGACATCGTTAAAATATTCCACGTGACATCAGTGGTTCAACTGTAATATTATGAAGCTACAAGAGTACTTTTTTTATGTGCAAAGAAAACAAAAATAATGAAGTTTGGGTTTGGAACAACATGAGAGTGAGTAATGGCAAATCCATTTAATAAAGAAAGCAACTTATGTAATACTTCAGAAGAGTCACACGTCTCCATCAAGACACAAAAGAAACTCCACTGTGTTCAGCAGGACCAAAAATATTTTGAGAATATGGTTCTTAATAAGGTTGTTTTTTAGATTCACTGATCTGAAATCTTAGCACACTGAGCTTACTACCCACACTGATCTTGTAAAAATAAACAGGATTTGAACTGGCATGAAAGAACATCTACCGACTGCAGAATTGGATCAGATGATCTGACCTCATAGGTCAGTCCGTCTAACTCTCACAAACAAGTTCTCCATGTTCTTTCTCATGTCTACACGCAGCCGGCTCCAACCTTCCCAACAGACCTCTGCTTCCCTACTTTGTTTTCTTTTCTTCTCTGTCTCAGATGTCCGATTTGATCATCGAGCATTCTAGTTTGTTTATTTACTTTTTATTTATTTAGTCATTTAGTTTGTACACTCAGTACATCAGTACGTCACTCAATCAGTGACGTAACGGCCACATAGTACAGAGTTTGTACTCGCATGTTTTTTTTTAGGGGAGCAATGGAAAAAAAGTCACATTTGATCTTGAAGGACAGAAGAGGAACAGGAGACAACCAATTTCCTCTTCATCTCCGATGTCTCATGTTGGTGACAGTGCTATTAATAAATCTTTGGGGGAGGCCAATTAGAGATGTCATGATTTGCCTTTGCACGATTCATGGCATGGGAGGACTGCATAAAATAACTGACCGCTGAGCTGCAGATGTGCCACTCAGATGGGAGGAGTGTTAAATCTGAGTGGGTGTATACGGGGAGTGGTGGTCTTAACAAGAAGCTTCAGTGGAAATGCATGAGATGTGAGCCATGTTTTCCTCAGTGGGGGGTGGGCATGCTGTGTGTTTGTACATGCTCATGTGTGTGTCAGTGTCAAGCGCTTTGACTGTTTCTCGTCTTGTTTGAGCAGTTCATGCACTTTGGCTCACACTCTGAAACTGTGATTTCTCATCCACTGCATCAGGTAGGACCAATTCTGGTTTATTTAGAGTTTTGAATGTGTTTATTTGTCATTGGAAGCATGCAACATGTACTAAAAGCTAATCGTGTTTATTGAACATGTTTGAATACGTATTCATTAATTTGAATACTAAACTAAATTCATGAACATGCAGCACATATCTAAAATCCTTATTTAGATGCTTTATTTAGTAGTCATTTGTAAAATCATGCATATTTTAAATGTTAAAGAAAGAATCATTATTATTTTCATTGCATAGTTAAGATTTTGCCATAAATATTAAACATGAAGAGTAATTTAATTAAAACATCTCTTCCCGCTACAGACATGAATATTACTGAATAATAATGCAGTTTATTAAGGAGAAGTGTGCTATTATTTGTGGCTGTTTTTAGCATGGTGGATGATAAAATAGTTGAAAAAAAAATGGGGCTGGACCTTTTGGTCAGTTGGCAACACCTTAAAAACCACCCTGAACATTTTTTTAACATAGAAATTGAAAGAAAAAAAAATACTCTCTCTCGCTCGCTCTCTCTCTCTCTCTCTCTCTCTCTCTCTCTCTCTCTATATATATATATATAAATATATACTAATAGTATATTCATATAAGAAATTATATTGTATACGGGGGTCATTTCATTTAAAATAACCAAGATTGTGTTCACTTTCATGAAAAAAAAACAAAAAAACATGCTGAGTGATTTCTTTGACTTTTGTTCTTGCAGATATGATGGTTACAAAATGATGCTAAAAGCCTGTTATGAGAATCAAAGCACTTTGTTTAATCTGGTGCATTGTTCCCATTATACTGCACATCCAATAAAGTATGGAATGGCTCATTTAAGAAGATGGTCGTTAACATACACATTTACATTGCTATCTAAATGAGGACACACCATAGTCAAGTTTATTGCTATTCCAGTCATGTACATACTGTATAAAGAAGAACAAAATTGATGTTTGTTGCTGGAACAAAATCCATCTGCGGTATACAGCAACTTACAGACAGTGTGATCAAGACTGACTTATTGCTTCACTGTAACAATACACTACATAAATACAAAAAAAAAAAGTATTAATTTTAAAGACCCGTTCATCTGCAACAAAGATACCAGTGGCCTGATACCAGTTTGGATGTGATTTTATACAACAGTTGAGTAAATAAGACGTTGATATTGTGTTATATTTCAAACACAATATGTGTTTTTGCTAAATTTTGTAGAGAACAAATTACCTTTAAAGCCATAACAGAATTGTTGCGTGTCCCGGAGCAACACAGCGGTGCTTAGTTTCTGAATGAATCCACGTTTTGAACGAATCGTGTGAACCAATGATTCAAAGGCCCATTCATAAAGAAAGCCGTTTACTTAATTCCTGAATGAATCAGCCGTTTGAACGAATCTAATGAAGACAGTGCCACGTGCTGGCAGGTTTAGTTTCTTGTTTGCAGAATCATTTCAAAATAATAACAATAAAAACATTAAAGGGATAGTTCACCCAACAAATTTAAATTATGTCATCATTCACTCACCCTCATGTTGTTTCAAACCCTTCTTTTGTGGAACATAGAAGAAGGTATTTTGAAGACAGTTGGTAACAAAGACATTTTAGTTACCAATGACTTTCATAGTATGAACAAACATACTGAGATGTTTCTCAAATTATATTATTTTATGTTCCATAGTTTATGTTTGGCCGTTGTAGCCTAAATGTTTATGTGTAATAAATGTAATGTTGAATCAAATAAAATATTCGCTGGCAGGTTTAGTTTCTTGTTTGCAGAATCATTTCAAAATAATAACAATAAAAACATTAAAGGGATAGTTCACCCAACAAATTTAAATTATGTCATCATTCACTCACCCTCATGTTGTTTCAAACCCTTCTTTTGTGGAACATAGAAGAAGGTATTTTGAAGACAGTTGGTAACAAAGACATTTTAGTTACCAATGACTTTCATAGTATGAACAAACATACTGAGATGTTTCTCAAATTATATTATTTTATGTTCCATAGTTTATGTTTGGCCGTTGTAGCCTAAATGTTTATGTGTAATAAATGTCATGTTGAATCAAATAAAATATTCCGGTAACACTTTCTATGAAGCCCATATTTATACACATTATAAGGGTATTCATAAGGAATGAACAAACATACTGAGATGTTTCTCAAATTATATTATTTTATGTTCCATAGTTTATGTTTGGCCGTTGTAGCCTAAATGTTTATGTGTAATAAATGTAATGTTGAATCAAATAAAATATTCCGGTAACACTTTCTATGAAGCCCATATTTATAACACATTATAAGGGTATACATAAGGCATTATAATGCATTATAAAATACCTTATAATATGTTATATCATCTTATAAATAATCATAACAACAATTATAATACATTATAATGCTTACACATGTGTGGTTATAAGTTTTAAGATTATGATTATTTATAACACACAATGAACACCATATAAAATCTATTTTTACATTTATAATGGACTATAGATATTGACATTGTTTATTTAAGATCTGCACAGTATATTACTACATCTTGTAAGTGGTTAGGTGTGGAGTGTTATTTGAGTGTTCCATGTGAGGCTAATATTTAATTTTGATGTTAGCTAGTTAATAATTTCAACTGAAAAAAACGCAATGTTTATATGTTAGGTTACATTTTATTTTGATGGTCCTCCTAGTCTATTAACTATAAAACTACATGTCAACTAACCCTCATTAGAGTATTAGTAGGCTTAGGTTAAGGTTAGGGTTGGTAGAATGTTGACGTACTTGCAAAGTTACTTATAGTCAGTTTGTCTGTTGGGGAACCGTCAAAATAAT